AATTGGACAATATTATCGAGTAACAAATTAAATAATTTGCAGTAAATGATAGTGACACGTCTTCTGACGAATTAGACTGGTAAAAGTTAATAATATATTCTTTATTCATTATGAATATTTTTATTTATTTCACTTCCAAGATCAAAATGCTATTTTCGTATTCATTTCTAAAGATTTTATCATCACCTTTCAACCTGAAAAATTGAATAAAACCATAATGACCAACAAAACACATTTACATGTCATAGAACCTTTAAAATTGTTCAAAAACACTTTACCACTGTACCACTTTCAGTGGAATCTATAACAACTTTCATAAACATATCAAAGAAAGTCCTAACAAACATCTTAATTTTTATTTTTTATTTTATACCATCACATTAATTATATACTTATGTATTTTTACGTCACCTTGTATAATATTTTTTATTATATTATTGTTTTAATTCCGTTGGTATTACGGTATTGCAAATTTATATTTCGAAAATTCTTAATCCAAATACATTGAAAATACATTGCAATATTTTATCCTCATTGCGGCCCTGATAAAAAAATACATGCACGTGCTTTTGTGTACATTTACTGAAACCCGAATGGAATATATTCCTACCTAGTTGATTCTTTGAAATCGAAGAGTTGCGTTTAATGATTCAAAATTTACCTTTGATGATTAGATTGCCTTCTGCTGCTATTCTACCATACTGATTGATCGCTTCACATAGATAGCTACCATGATCGAGAGGGTTGATATCCCTTATCACGAGTCCATCTACCTCATAAAAATATTTCTCAGACGAAGGAAGTTGTACTCCATTTTTGGCCCACTTTATCAACGGTATTGGATTTCCTACAACTCGACAGTGTAGCTTGACTTCAGCCTCACCAGATGTTGAATAAACTGTTTCTGGTTTTCTCCTGAACTCTGGTGGCCCTTGAGCTGAAAAAAATCCAGTTTGTATTGTGATGAAACAGCAATAATTCTCATATGGGTATTGTAGGTTGTTTCGAAAGTTTTGTCCATTTTAAAGTCATTCATCTCAATAAATATTTGTGCCTTCCCTGAGCAGTGGAAAACGACTCGAATTAAAACTCGATATTAAAAAAGGCGACTCCAGCGATATCACAAACTAGGTGGCAATTTCAATTTTATGCAACTTTTCTTAACTCTTTGAGATATAAGTTCAAAATTTTATGTACTCCCATATTCAAAAAGTTATTTCTCCTACTCAGCATGGTTTCGTACAACAAAGATCATGTATGACAAATCTTGCATGTTTAAATCAAATATATCAGATATAAAATGTACCATGTGGGTTATTTCTGGGTCTGGAGTGATTTTCGACGTGGAAATTAACGTAGTGGATACCAATCTTGAGCTGGGCTTGGTAAATCCATAATACTTTCTTCCTTTGATCCACCCGATAGGCTTTGTAAGACCGTCCTCATAAATAGGTTTGAGAATACGTCTGAAACCGCTGGAAGAAGCCCCCCACATGGGATGCTGCAGATTGTTGCAGGTACCATCTATGGAACGATATTTGGAGTGGAAGCACATGTCTGAGCAATTTTTGAGGAGTCTGTGTGTCATGCAACCTACAAAAAACATTGACAATCATGAAACCTCGTCATACAATATGAGTTCCTGTTACTACAGAAAAATAACGTGGAGGAGGTATTTCAATCGCAGTGAAATCAGCTCCATCCACTAAAAGAATAAAAATACCCCCTGTTGACAGTGTAGATTCAGAACAAGTATTCATTTATTTTAATCTTTAGAACAAAACCGTAGTATTGGGTGCTATATATATTCCTCCATCTTCACCTATCAGTTCATATGAATATCACATTAGTACTGTTGAATTTGTTACCAGAAATTATGCTCAGTCAAACCGTACTATATGTGGTGATTATAATATTCCGGATGCCACATGGTTTAATGACAATCTCGGTTTAAATGTTAACTGTAATGAAAACTCTTCGGGAATTGCAATTCACCAAGCGTTTAGCTTTCATAATTTCTTCCAACTGAATTCCATACCAAATAGTACCAATGTGTATCTAGATTTGATATACTCCAACAATCATTTCTCCGTACAAAGAGCTATTATTCGGCACACTGCAATTGAATTTTCCTTCAATATTTCTATTCCGAAAGAATCTGAATATGAGGAATACTTTTTTGATTTCTCCGTACAAAGCGCTAGTATTCGGCAAAATCCAGTTTACGACTACCAAAAAACATCAATTGAGAGCGTACAGAGGAAGTTCCTAAAATACTTATGTCTAAAAGTTGATGGACAATACCCCACAAGAGGCGTCGATCATAACATAACGTCACGCGTGATGAAAAGTGGATCCTCTACGACAGTGGTCGCCAACCTGTCGATCGCGAGCTACCGGTAGCTCGCGGAGGCAATTCTGGTAGCTCTTACAACGATTTTAATTTAAAAAATACAAACCGCAAAAATCAGAGAAGCTTCCGAAAATTCCAAAAAAAATCTAATTGTCATAATATTAAACATAAACAGCGGCAACGTTGCGGTGAGCGATCTGCCGCTGACGCCATCAAGCTAGAATCGGCTAGAACCGACCAGCCGGACCAGCGCGTTAGTGTTCGAGAACGATCTGGATTGCTTTGAACGGGATAAATAC